CTGAACATAGGTTTTTTTCTCATTTAATGAATTTGTAACAGTTCAAGGAAAATAAATGTATTGTTAGTTCTTTTTCTAATAACTCTTAATATCAAATTAAGTAAATCCAAATATTTAAAACACTTCATAATGAAAAAAGCAAAACATTAAACTAAAAATGTTGTTATGTTTTGAGTATCAGCCAAAATTCAGTGGAGTAATAATTGAGAAGTGGCTTAGTATGGCTGTTGAATGACTTCTCCTGAGCTGAAGCAGACAGACATCTATTCAGTCTGTGGAGAGCAACACAGGAGAGCCAAGCAACGTTTCCCCACAAGCCCATCATGGTGAACCAGTGTGTGTTTGGGATTGCTTTCAGGAGCGTGGGTGGCACAAAGGCAACTGAGTCATTGAAAAGCTGCTCTGGCCTGGCTTCTTAGAGATGCCTTATCTGTGGAGCTTCCTCCCTTCATGCAGCCAATGCACCCAGGGGGCCCTCTTCTCCAGTTTGCTTGGAGATGTGCTCTGTGATGGAGTAACTTTGGTGAGGTTCGTGAGCCCCCTATCTCTTTGATTCTTATGATTCTCCCTCCTTCCTCCAAAAAGGAAAGTTTCAATTCATAGGATAAATGTTATGCAATAGTACTAAATGTAGTGACTGCAGTGTCAGCCTGTGCCTCTGACTCCCTGGAAGCCAACTGCATTGCTGAGCCTTGTTTGTACATATGAACTGGGAGTGTTGTGCTAGATGGAGAGATTTAAGTTCCTGTTCATTCTGATTCTGTTTACTGTAATATGGTAAAATGCCCCCCTCTTTTTATTTGGAGGATATAAGTGTTCACAGGAGTTGATAGAGCAGTTAAATGAGTACACTAGGACCATCAAGCAATCCCTAAATATTCTGTGTAACCCGTCATGCTCCTCTGCAATTCGACCTACTCATTACTCTAATTATTTTAAACAAATCCTTAATTTGTTTGCACGACTCCTCTGCCATCTGTGTTGCTAGCACCTTCGAGTCCTGGAAGCAGTAGTTAAGTTGTCAGAAAGATTCCATGTGCATTTCCTCGGTTTCTCCCATAGTAATTTCTTGTAAAACTATGGTGAACTGTAACAACTGGAATGTTGACACTGACACAATAGACAGAGATTACTCAAATGTCCAGTTTTACTTGAACATGTGTGTGCATGGGGGCGTGGGTGGTCTATGAAATGTTCTTATATGTATCTGTGGTCACAGACACTGTAGGTGCCAGTGAGAACAGTGATTGGCTTGAGACTTTTAATGGGCTCTCCACAAAGCTTGTTTGTCCCTTTTCCCTTATTTCTTGAGCTTCATAACTTTCGGAGAACCATAATTGTAAATGTCTTGTGTATACTCCCAACACATTCCTGAGTTCTTGATTTCAGTAAGGCTGAAGGATATCCTTTCAAAACTCTTATTTTCTCTGGTAATGCTATTTCTCAGATAATCGTTTTTACAATTTTCTGCAGACCCACATGCCTTTAATCCCAGCACTCAGGAGTCAGAGGCAGGTGGGTCTCTGGGTTCGAGGCCAGCCTGGTCTACAGAGCAAGTTCCGGACAGGCTCTAAAACTACAGAGAAACTCTGTCTCAAAAAAAAAAAAAAAAAAAAAAAAAAGACCCATTTCTTTAGATTTAGTATGTGTCTGAAGAATTCCAAAGTGATGGAGCCAGAGAGATGACTAAGTGGGCACAAACACTTATTCTATAAGTTTTAGAGTATGAATACAAACCCCATAATACTAAAGAAATGCTGGGTATGTGGGTACCTGTGACCTTAGCATTTGGGAGAGATATAGGCACACCCCAGAATTCACTGATAACTCAGGTTTAGTGAGAGACCCTGTCTCAAGGCAATAGTGTAGATAGCAGTAGAGGAAGACACTTGTTCTTCACTTGTTCACAAGCACCATGTACACACACACACACACACCAATGATGAAAAGTAACTCAAGACTATAAACATATACATACCCTCAACACCTTTAAATTATAGTCATAGAAATATTTCAAATCCAAGAGAAAAAGATGCACTAAAGAACATTTGGGAAGCTGGTCCCAGTGGCACATGCTTATCTTGTAGGAAGCTGAGACAATGGGATCATGAGTTTGAGTCTAGCCTGAGCTGTATTGCTAGTCTCTGTCTCAAAAGCATCTGGGAATATAGGCAAAATGAAAGTTTAGATAGATTAATGATCTAAATGTTAATTTAAAAACTTCTAGCTTTATAAAAGATTAATATACTTATGATTATTGAGATATGTTGGGTTATGCAAGAGTTTCTATTGAATGTATGGCACTCAAACTGCAAACAGAAAATGTGCAGGTTTGACTATATAAATATTAAAAATACTTTGTAATAAAAGTTCAATAAATTGTTTGCAAGAAAACTGAATAAAAACATACTTACATTTGTATATGTGTCACACATACTCTTTTGCAAGTTAATTTCCTAAGGTGGAGACAAATATATTTATCTCTGATAAGTTATTATTTCTAATATGCAAAGAGTTGATGTAATTACAATGCAAACTAAATAGCAAACACTTCACAGAAGAATACACATTACCAATCACATACAAGTAGACATTTGCCTTCAGGAAGACACTAGAAAGCAGAAATTAAAACAAAAACTGAAATTTAAAAACTCTTCAAGTAGACACAATGAAACCAGTACTCAGTATTATGTATGTAAGAGGGCCTCGTGGAAGGCTCTACCATGGCACTCTGTCTTGCCACAAGCCCAAAGGCAGCAGAGCCACACAACTGTGGACTGAAACTATGAGTCAAATAACTTCTTCCTCTTTGTAGGTTGATTTTCCTCAGCTATTTTGTCTTGTTGGAAAGCTGAATAATACGTGTAGTCATTTAAAAAAATAAAAAGCATTACACTATACAAATACATAAACAGTGAGAGTCCCAACATTCAGTTTGTGTCTGCTTCAGATCTGTAACCATTTTAAACAAGCGAGTTTTCTGTTTTCCAGATTTTTTTAGCATACACATGTATGTAATACAGATTTTTGCCATCTTCTGCTATGTCATTGTAAACTTAATGCCTTCACTGTATTCCACTGCAGAACTATGTTATAGCTGGCATTGAAAAAAAATTCTTTATTGTTAAATGTTTTAGGTTGATTATGTATTATTCTTCTACTAAATTAAGCAGCAATGAATATCCTAGTTCCTATGTCCTTGTACTCCAGTTTTTCTGTAGTACAGATTTCCAACAGTGAAACCACTGTATCAAAGAGTAGGTATGTTTTCAAACTTAAGATATACTGGCAAAATGTCCTCAGCAAAAGCTGTATAAGTTGTATCACCAGCAAACATGGCTGAAAACATACCTCTTTTAAAGGTTCTACCTCCAAATAGTGCCATATCTGACAATTAAGCTTTTAATACATAGCCTTAAGGGGACATTTAAGATACAACCCAAAACAAGTTACAATCCTTTTATTATGTTGATAAACAAAAGAAATTAGAAACATGAATTAACCCAGTTATGGACCAAAGAGAAAAAAATGGTTAAAAATTTACTGCAACAGATCTCGATGCTCATGGCTAAAATTAAATAAACAGAAAAAATCCCTCTTTCTTGTTACTGTGTTAATTGTTATCACAATTTAGTTCAGTGATTTCTCTCTGGTTATTTAATTCTGTGTATTTAACTGACAGTGTTTACAGGTGTTTAGTGAAACTATTGTATAAATACTCCCATTGTGATTTGCCCACTGTGGTGTCTCCCCAGCCAGCTGACTGTGGGTGGGAAATTAGTGAAGGAGATAGATCTGGAGAGCAGTGCCCACTTCCTTATCTCCACAGGCAACCTTATTTCATATTGATAAAGTTTGCCATCTCTTCTTTGGTTCATTCTGATTGTTCATTGTTGCTCCTGTTTTAATGAGAAGTGGAAATGAGCCAAACCCACTTGCTTCATTCCTTCTACTAATTTAATTTCAAAGGAAAAATTCTTCAGCCCAAATAAATAAGTGCACATGGATGCACCCAGAAACCCTGATTTCTCTTTAATCGCAGCACTGGGGAAGCAGAGGCAAGTGGATCTCTGTAAGATTGAGGCCAGCCTGCTCTACAAAGGTCATTCCAGGACACTGTTACACGGAGAAACCCTCTCTTGAAAAACCGGAAGGAAGGAAGGAAGGAAGGAAGGAAGGAAGGAAGGAAGGAAGGAAGGAAGGAAGGAAGGAGAGGGAGGGAGCGGGAGGGAGGGAGAGAGAGAGAGAGAGAGAGAGAGAGAGAGAGAGAGAGAGAGACAGAGAGAGAGAGAGAGAGCAGCCAGTAAATAACAATTAGTTGAGAAGTGGAATGACTCACATATCTGCTTACAAAGCCTTGTTTAACTTCATATCAACATGTGCCAGCGGTTCTACTCTAAATCAGCTTGTATTGTTGAACATTATCAAAGTTACACACAATAATGAAGAAAACAGAACCACTCAGGATTTGAAATGCACCTAACAAATTCAGACCCTTGCAAAATAACTTTCTTATTCAGAATGAAACTGAGGATTGTTCAGCACACAATGAGTCATCTTTGGATGGGTACAATAGAACCTACAGGGGCATTTCCTAGCCTTGGTTCGATTGTTAGGATGTTATTAGCTCTCACAGGTAAAGAAATAAGGTAGCTGGTGTAGACACCATCTTGTTGCTGAAATCACACAGTGAAGACTTTGGAGTTGCTGTTGTGGTAGTTCTTTGTGCTGCCCCTGCCGCAGCTCCCCACCCCCCATCTCTGGCCAGAATTGCTTTGTTTCCCAAGAACAATCTGGATTTAGTTAATGCTAATGTTTTCTGGTTTTACTGTTTACCTATGACTCGAATGTTAAGTATTAGTGTGGGTAATTCCCTTTTTCTTACCTCATAGCCTTGTATTAACTGTTATTTTGCGACAAGAAAAATCTTTCTCTCCCCATGATTGTACTTGTTTTTTAAAACTGACACAGTTTGGCTTAGTCTCGCTCTTTTTTTCCAGGAGAATTTAGAGCTAACAGTGGATGATTCCGAAGTGATGGAGTCTGCAGCAGCATCCCAAGTGATTAAATACGAGTATCATGTCGTATACTCCTGCAGCTACCAAGTACCCGTTCTTTACTTTAGGGCAAGCTTTTTAGGTAAGACCATGTCTAAAGCTGAAAGTGAATTCATAAAATTTGCATATAAGACAGGAAACATACTTGGAAAGTCATTCTTGAAAGGGAAAAAAATAAAGTTAAAAATAAAAAAAGCTGTGGGTGAGGTAAGGTTTTACCAGTAACATTTCTCATGCTTCAGAAAGAAAAATCAAGACTTCATAGTGAATGACATCATCCCCCACCTTAAATCGGATCTTCACGTCTTTTGGCCTCTTGCCTGAAGTTGACTAAGCCCCCCGGCCCTTCTTGACTTTAAACAAGTAGGAACAACTTAAAACTGCAATGTTTATTTACTTCTAACTTTGCAGTAAAACTTTCTTTCCATCTCAAGTGATGCAGTTAACTGAGAAGCACCCAGGCTCCTTCACCGAGAGCTTATGATTACTCAAGAAATGTTTATTAGTTAGTTTAAGGTGTGTTTAAAAGTGCCAGCACTTCCTTAAGCCTTTTCTACATCTCAGAAGCCTTGGTGTCTTGCAGTGCTGTTACTTAACTCATTCTCCTGCCAAAAAAGGCGAACACCCTGTGTCTCCTTAGAGGCCCCTGCTAATAAAGCTTATTCAGTGGCAGCCTCATGGGGACTAGCAGCTCAGGGGGACTAGCAGCTCAGGGGGACTTCTGAATATGCACTGGCTAGACTGGGTCAGGATGCTTGTCCTGGCCTGGAGACTACTCAGAGCTCCTGCCCAGCCCACCTCTTACCCCGTGCTGCCATTGGCTTTCTCAGCCACACTTTGCATTTGAGGGGGAATTTGGGGTAGCTAAGACATCTGAATTTAGCCAATGATATTTTATTTTTAATTAAAAAGTAGCTTAAGCTGCTTTGAATGTGAATTTGGTGGTTTTAATCACTCGCTGCCATATATTGTTTAATGGTCTCTAGTTTTGAAGTGCTGGCAGTTTAACAAGCACTTAGGATTTAGAACAAGAGCAAATTCTTAGAGACTCCCTGGTGAGATGATTTTAATCTGAGGTGCAGTTCCTGAGAACTGACAATTTGGGATAAATTTTCACCCTGGGACTTGAGGACACTGATGGTTCCCTAACTCTCACACCCTTGAGGCAGATTCGTCTATATGATTATTACTGACCTTTAAAACATGCCTTATTGTAATTATATTTGATTTGGAGTCCAGAGGTTAAAAAGGACTCCTTGTCTATTGCAGTGTTCTCTCCTATATTTGTTACATGTCGGGTGGAGGTGGTGGGGAATACCTTTCTCCCTTCTAGTCTGTAGTCCTCGCTCTACTCTACCTAGCACCTTCTGGATTCAAAGGCAAGTGGGGATTGCAGGCAGAGGCCACAGGAGGTGGTTCTGGTTTCTCAGTACTATTCTCCAATGTAGTCAGTGTTCACTGTAAGCAGATAATCACCACAGATGAGTTCCCAGAGACAAAACAAGTCCTTTAGCTTGTCAGCATCAGGGATGTGAGGTGTTGAAACATGGCTGCTTCTAGTTGGAAGTGGGTCTTGTCTTGCTGAGGCTGGTGGATGAGCTCACACTGGCACTGTGCTGTGGCGTGCCAACAGCTCCCCTTACAGCACAGCACAGTGATTGTTCCTGCAAGTCCAATTATATTTTAATGACATTAGTGTTCTGCCTGCATGCCTTTTTGCATGATGATTTTAGTTCTTAAAACATACATACATAAGTAGCATTCTTGGTTCTATTTTAGAATTTTAAGATGCCCTTCATTTGTGGCTTATAAAGAAAATCAAAGAGGTCATTTATTTTATGTAGAAATGTTTTCCTTACCTCTCATTCTGTCTTGTATAGAATTGGTTATTTAGTTCTTTTTATTCCAGAATTCATTTAGCATTTGTTTAGACATATGAATTATTTTTTATAAAACATATTGAAATGTTTTCTTGTGGAGAAAAATGAAAAATGATTCTTTCCTTTATCATTCTTGTACTTATAATTTTTTGCTTTTACCTAACTTAAACTCAGGGCATTCTAAAAATATGTCATATTTTACTCATGAGTCATAATTTTTCATTTATTCCCCCCAGTCTAGTCCTTTTCCTATCCTGTTAACCTGGTTGTTTGTGTGTTAACAAATTCTGATGGTGTGGAATGTGTTCCTAATGTCTTCCTTGTTCCAGGCCCAGGTTTTTCTTTGTCTCTTCTGAGAAAATCCAACCTAGAAACAGGATGATTGTAAAACTTCTTGCCCAAGGGTCTTTTCTTTTCTTTCTTTCCTTTTTTCTTTTTTTTGGATGTTGCAATAATAGTTCATTTGTCTTGTTTGTGACAGAAGTTAGAGTTTCTTTTGTGTCTGTTAGTAAAAATCAATTTCTCTGCTTAACTTTGAATTTTCTTGCCAAAAGCAAAGCGAGGAGATGGTAGTTCCCACTGAAATGGATGTTGCCCCTTTTATCAACAGGGTGAGATTTCTTCTGTATCTTTTTTGTTTCTTGAAATGCAAATCCATGTACTCTGAGCTCCTTTTATTCCTCTGCATGATTCAGTGTCTGCCAGGTCAGCTGCTGCTGCCTGAGACTCATGCTGACTGTCCTTGTTACTCCGTGTCCTGTATCATATACCCCATTATATCATCCCATCACCTCACACGCTTCGGTATAATGAAATGTCTGTTTGTTTGCCCCCTACTAGATGGTCCTTAACATGTAAAGAGCAGTAAAGGATATTAATGTTGGTTACCTACCAAGTGAAAAGTATTGTCTTAGGGTCTGTGCCTAGTATTTATCTACGTGATATTTTGACACACACATACCCCACTTATCTTGCTAATTTTGTTACTCACAATGTCAATTGTAGGGAAACATCAACAAATGCTCACTGGATGAATCAATAGTGAAGAATCTTTAAGCATTTCTAAATAGAGCCAAAAGACTAAAATATTGTGGTTATAGTACTGTTCTACCTCTGTGACATGCCATAAGGAAGAAGCGATGCTGTCCTCTCCAGGAGGCCTAGGAGCCAAACCATTTATCCATCTTTACAGTTTTATCTGTTGTTCCTTATAGACTATAGAAATAGAACACTAAGAAAAATACAACATCCCAAGGCCCCAAAGCATGAATCCAGCCTGACTGAGAAGCTGTGCTTTCTCTGGTAAACACGTTTCTTTGTTTGATTCTTGAAGACAAGACAGCCAAGTTCAGATAGAATTTTACTTCTAGATACCTCTCATATTAATCAGGCCCATAGGAACATGGTCCCTCCTCCTCCTCCTCTTTTAGTTCCTTTTCTACTGCTACAGTGATGACTATTGCTACTACACTACTATTGAGACAGGATCACACTCTGTATCTAGGCTGTCCTCAAATTTACAATCCTCCTTCCTCAGCCTCCCAAGAGCTTACATATGTGTGAGTAGCACCATGCCTACCCAGGATCTTGGTTCTCAAAGGGATACCACGGACTGAAGAGGATGAGTGCTTCTCTGTGTTCTGTTTCTCTAACTGCTTTTGGCATTGCAGGTTTGGGCAGGGCAAAGTTAGTACTGTTTGTCATCCAGTTTTTGAGAGGCCTTTCCTTTGGGAGGCTGCAAATATAAGACATAAATGATCTGGTTTGAGTAATGCCTTTTGTTTCTGAGTTCATCCCCACAAGGTTATCCTGTATATGTTGGTGCATTTTCCTTTTTCTACCTTTTCCACTTTTGTGGTGCTGGACATTGACTGAAGGCATGTGCCATGGTGTGCTCTCCCACTTAGCCCTGCCCAATTAATTTGAAGCACTCTGTATCCAAGTTATTTGCACCATGACAAAGCCTCCTTTTGTCCTCAGGTTTTTTTTTTTTTTTCATGGACTTTTTATGTCCCATTTTTTCCTTGATGGACTTGGCTGGTAGCAAATGGCAAATGCTGAAAATGTGGCTTAAAGAGTCTAATTATACCAAATGGCCTTAATATCACCAGAATCGTGGTTTAAACATTCATCCTGACATCTTAACTAGAGATTTTTATATTTATTCTAGATTGAATTCTGACTTATTTATTTCATTTCCCTTTTTTCTTTCCCTTTGTTCTTAATTTTTATTGTGAGTAGGACCAAGTGGTTCTTCTCATTTTCAAATATTTAATTCTTTGGTTGACATATGCATTCTTTTGGGTAGCTGTTTTGACATATTTCCTTAATTAGTTAGAAAGACTGCTTTAGAATAGGGAAGGAAACATTTCTCCCATTCAGCAACTGAAGTCTGTCTTATTGGCCCTGAAAGCAGGGATATAGAATTTAAAATGCACCCCAGATACTTCACGTGGAAGATTTGTTCAGTTGTTATGAGCTTAAAAGATGCTCCTAGAGAAGTGAAATGAAAGAAATAGTCAAGCAACAATTCCCTCTCAAAGGTAGGATAAAACAAAGCAAGGAAAAGGTTAAGATATGGAATAATGAAATTTAGAATAGAAGTGCATATGCTGTCAAGGTGAAGATAGAAGAGCGTTGTTTAGAATTCAGTGCATGGGGAAATTCAAGAGGAAACTTAAAGGGACAAGAATGGTGTGAGTGGAGGGGACTGAAAAATGGAAGTTGAGGGTTCATCGCTCTGTCCAAGGACTTTTGAGGAGCAGTGTGGGGAGCATGCCCAGCTTTGGGACAGAGTGAGCAAGGCATGTTAACGTATCAATGCAAAGCAGTGTGGTTTAAGGGTGTCCTCGTAAGATAAACATGGAAGAAATGGTTGAGAAGGTAAGTGGGGGTCAAATTATGGATGGGCTAATGAATAGGAAGGAGTTGAGACATACAAAATGAGAAAGAAAGTGAGCTGGGTTACATTTCCTAGAAATCAGAAGACAGATGAATAATGAGGGTGAGAGTGAACTGGAGGGAAAGAAATGTGATACTTTTTGTTGTTGTCAGCATCATTAAAACTTTAAAATAGTAGCCTCTTGTAAAAGATGAGCTGGAAAGAACATATTGTGTATTTCCATGGTAATATTGCTACAGTTGAGTGGGAGTTAAGGTAGCTTATTTAGTAGAAAAGAAAATGGATAAGGCTGAAGCAAAA